CAGAAAAATGAATCTAACTGAGAAAATAAACTGTAAAATATTTTTCTCTTTCTAGTTTAAACAAACTTCCAATTAAGAGTAACTCTGATTATTTGTGTATGGTTAAGTGAAATGGAAAATCAAGGTAGATGTCTGAATACATTATAACATTCATTTCTCAATTATATTCCTATTTATTTGGATAACTACCTCATATTGTCAACATATTTTATATGTGTAGAGTCTACCTTATAGAAGTTAAGCTTTGAATATGGCATAAAATTATTTTCATCCCCCTCTCCTATATTTCTAAATATATAATTCCATTTTGAAAGTGGTATGAGCCATTGTTTTGGCAGAAAGGGTTAGTGTTTGTGAATTTTTTATTATTGCCAAATCCCAAACATTTCCATTTAAGTTTTCATACCTTCAATTTAATTACCAATATTTACCCACTTATAAAAGTAAACTTCTAAAAATGACAACACTGGTAAATGCTACAAACCATTTAAGGAAGAATTACTGCCAATCTTTCTCAAATTCTTCCAAAAGTAGAAGAAGGAATACCTCTTTATTCAGTCTATTAGGTCAGAATTTCCCTCATACTAAGCCAGATAAAGACATCCCAAAGAAAGAACACCATAGACTAATATGCTTCATGAATATAGATGTGAAATACACAAGAAAATAGTAGCAAATCAAATCCAGAAGCATATTTAAAGGATTATAACCAATGATCAAGTGGAATTTATCCCATAAATGTAAGAGTGGTTCAAAATACAAAAAGCAATCAATATAATACACCACATTATAGAATGGGCGGAGGATCATGTGTCCATTTCCAGTGATCACAAACAGCATTTGAAAAAAATCCAGCGCCCTTTCATGATAAAAAAACATTTAACACACAAGGAATACAAGTAAACTTCCTCATTCTGATAAAGGGCATTTATTAAAAACACAGCTTACAAACATCATATCCATGGTGAAAAGTTGAAAACTTTCTGATCAATGATCATACAGAGGCTGTTTTTACTAATTCTATTCAGCATTGTACTGGAAAATTCTAGCCAGTGTAATTAGACAAGAAAAAGAGCCCCAGCCTGTTTCGCTCAGTGGATAGAGTGTCAGCCTACAGACCAAAGGATCCCGAGTTTGATTCTGGTCAAGGGCATGTACCTTGGTTGCCGGCTCTTCCCTGGCCCAGGCCCTGGTCCGGGCTCCTGCAGGAAGCAACCAATCAATGTGTTTCTCTCACATCGATGTTTCTCTCTGTCTTTCCCCGTCTCTTCTACTCTCCCTAAAAATCAATGGAAAAATATCCTCGTGTGAGGATTAACAAAAAAAAAGAAAAGAAAAGAAAAGAAAAGAAAAGAAAAGAAAAGAAGAGAAAAGAAAAGAACAGAAAAGAAAAAGAAATAAAAGAGCATCCAAATTGGAAAAAAAGAAGTAAAAACTTTCTTTCCACAAATGACATGATCTTATATGTAGAAAAACCCTAAAGAAGTCACAAAAAATGTATTAGAGTTAATAAATTCAACAAAGTTACAAGATCAACAGGCAAGAAGCAGTTGTGTTTTTATGGACTAAAAATGAACAATTCCAAAATTAGAAAAAAACAGATATTGAAGATCTTGGATTTGGCAATAAAGTCTTATATAGGACACCTAAAGCACAGTCGACTGAAAAAAATAGATAAATTGGCCTTCATCAAAATTAAAACGTGGTAAAGAACACTATCGAGAAAATGAAAAACAATGTATAGAAGAGAATATTTGCAAAGCATCTGTCTGTTAAGGACTTACCCATGCAATGGAATATTAGTCAGTCATAAAAAAGAACGAGGTACTGATAAATGCTTTCATATGGATGAACCTTCAAAATATTATGCTAAGTGAAAGAAGCCAGACACAAAAGATTATATAGTGTACTAGAGGCCCGGTGCACAAAATGTGTGCACTGGTTTGGGGGGGGTCCCTCAGCCAGCCTGTGCCCTCTTGCAGTCCGGGAGCTCTGCGATTGATCACCAGCAGAGGGAGGCCCAGGCCACTGACCTGTGGGCTGTGGTGGGTGGGCGGGGCCTCCCTCTTTGGGCAATCATGGAGCCCCCCAATTGATCACCCCACCTGCCGGTGGCCTGGATCTCCCTCTACAAGGCGATCATGGGGTGATGGCAGGGCCCCCAACCAATTGCATCGCACCCGCCTTAGCTGACCTGGCACCAGTGGGTGTCATAGCATGGTTGTCCGGATGGTTGTTCTGCTTTTCGGCCCTTCAGTTGATTTGCATATTACCCTTTTATTATTATAGATTCCATTTATATCAAATGTCTGGACTAGGTAATCCCTCAGAGCCATAAAGCAGGTTCATTGTTGATGGGGCTGTAAAGAGAGCAGAATGAAAAGGGACTGCTTAATGGGTCCGGGATCTCTTTTGGAGCTGATGAAAATGTTTTAGCACCAGATGGACTTGATGGGTGCACAACATCGTGAGTGTCCTAAATGCCACTGAATTATACACATTAAAATGGTCAATTCTATGTTAGTGAATTTAACCTCATTAGAAATAATCCTGTCCATTGAGATCATTTTGTCTATTTTTAGTGAAGTTAAATTTAATTACAAGCCCACAAACTTTCAATTTTTAAAATTGTTCCAGCCATTTGTTTGAGCACTTTGTTGTTGTTTTTTTGTTATTTTTATTGTTGGGTTTGGTTGGGTTTTTGTTTGTTTGTTTGTTTGTTTGTTTTGCCAAGGGGTAGGCAGACCCTGTTTCATTGTTGATTAGATTTTTGTTTGTTTAATTTTTAAGTCAAGCTAGAATCAACTGAACATAAAATGATCTTCTGAGCTGCCTTGACGACATACAACAAGATAGAATCTCTGAGATATATTTTTCAAAGCTTTATTACTTGACTATTTATTCATTTATTTCCCTAATGGCTTTGTATACTAATCTAATGTTATCAATTAAATGACAAGTTATTTGAGTGAAAGAACAGTGTCTTTTACTTCTCTTCAGGTCGCTCATGTCATTGTGGAAATACAGTGGGTGTTTTAAGAACCAGCTTTGCTTGATAACCCAATTTTCTTCTATTTTGAAAATAACTAAACTTAAACTGTAATCTCTTATATCAATGGATAATATTTTGGAATATTTGTAATACTCTTGTTTAGAAATTTAAAGAATGGGGATTGGACTACATTTCCTGAATTGACCAGAATTCTTACCTAGACAACAGAAATCCTTAAGGTCACTTCTTATATACATTATTCCAAAAGGAAAACTTTGCCTTTGAATATTTAACCTTTAAAACCACACTCCATTCAGAAGCTCTAAAATCACCTAAACAAAACTAGAAGCAGTTTTTACGCAATCAGCACATTTATTTACGTACCTGCTGTCTTGTTTCTTCAACATGTCTTTGAAACACTAAACTTGACAGTTTTTGAAAAGGTGCCTTGTTTCAACATAAAACTATGAGAACACCCATAATGCGGCTGTTTCCTTTCAAAAGAAGGAATGCAGGGGAGATTTTTTTTCTGTTTAAACAAATGCTATTGTTTTATTGCCAATTTTTCTTTAAAAGTGCCCATTAATAAATCTAGCAACCTCATTAAGTATTTTTAAGCAGTTTACAACGCTGTTAGAACTTGTTATAAATTCTTATCCACTGTATGAAAGTTCCTTGGTCTTTAGTCCTTCTTTGAACCTGTAACTACATACCTGACAATTTATTTACAGAATGCTGCTTTAATGTTGCATACAGTTCATTATGTTATGATAGTATTTCCTTAAAACAAAACAAAACCAATTTTCATCATTTTGTGAAATTGATGATAAATTCATATTAGATCATTTCAGTATTTTTGCAGCTTTTAAATCTGTGCGTGCCTGTGAAGTGGCACACTAAATATTAATTTCTCTCGGTTGTAAACTCTTGGAAACACCAGCAAATGCTCCGTCTAGCCTGCCTACAAAAGGGTCTTCTACCCAAAATCAAACCAATCTGAAGTTCATTTAAAAATCAACAAATGATATTTCATTCGTTTATGTCAATCTTATGGAAATTCTGGTTTGTTTGTACTGCTTTGGTTTCAAGAATCTAAGCTTGATTACATGAAATGCTATATCATCCAAAAATGATTGATGTTTTTTAATGCTCAATTAATTTATCATAAAACACACACCATAAAACTGAAATATGACCTGAAAACGGACTATAAAGAAATTCAAAGTGCTAGATTAGCAAAGCAAAGACTAATGGAACTGCTATTCCCAACACTTACCCCATCAAAAGATTGTGTGTTACTTCAACCTGCACACATACATTTTCTATTTTTCCTTGCTTTGATTCACAAACAACTCTCTGTCGTCATGGTGTAATCATGGTATAACCAAAGCAAACAACAATTTATAAAGCTAAATCCAGAGTCTATACATCATATTTTAACTAAACGTTTGATGCTCCCTCTCATTTTCTCAAAATGGAAGGACAAAGTGGGACTGACAAATTAGAATTTAAGTCGTTCATTGTCTGTCATTCATTTAACCACAGAACGCTTAGGAGTTCTGTTTCAGCATATAACCAAAATTATGTTAAGTCCTCAGAGAACATCAATGAAATAGATGGTTCTCTGGCTCTGCAGTACAAACAACAAATTTACTCTCTTCTGCACAAATACTAGGTAGGTGCTGATGTGCAACAATATTGCCAAAACAGGAAAAGAGAAAGAGGAATCTGGTTCCTAAATACCAGTTATGTATAAGTGTTTTCAGCAGGCAGACCATTCAAGACCAATCGTCCCAAATCCCCCTTCTAAAGAAACTGAAGGCAATTAAAGATGCAAATCTGCTAACTTAATTATCAAAAGGATAGAAAAATTACCCCACAAGGAAACTTGGCCTCAGAAGATAGGAAGCATTCCCAGCATGCACAGTTCGAGATAGGCCGTTAACCTGCCCCAGCAGAAGGACATCTCCGCCTTGCTTACCGCCTCACATGTTTCACCTTGAATGTTAGAAACTAGTAGCCCCTCACTGTCTGGTAAATAACATAACATCAATCAACACGAGCGATGAAAGTCAGGTATGAAAAAGTGCTAAAACATGCTGCATTTATAAGAAGTTGAGCAACCATCCGTCATTTGCCTTTGATCATTTGTCGGGGAGGGAAAAGAGGAAGAACTGCAAAATAAGCAATATCCAAATCAACAAGCTGCTGGGAAAATGGATTGGAAAGATTGCCATACTTTGACTTTTAAATCAACAAATCTTTACATAGTGAAGTTTATTCGTTACTAAACATGATGAGAGAAAAGAATGTACAATATGACAAAGATGCAGTCTCTGTCTCAAATGTTCATAGCTAATCATCCACGTGAAATACACTTTATTTCTAATACAGCTTATCGATGATTCCCATAGTGACATACTGTTAGAGTTACAAAGATATTTCTAATATTCCAACCTTAACAAACACCTATAATTTATATATTACTACACAAATCATAGCTAGAAGCATGACCAGTATAGGTAAGCTTTGTATCACCAATGCACATTTTAAATAATACAGAAAATGTAATGGTCTCTAATCCATTTCTGAATTGTGAACTAGAAAGTGCTACAGAAACCCATTATATTTAAAGATTAAGGGGGAAAATACTAGATTGTCAACGTTTCAAGCTGCAAATCTTTGCTTTTAAAAAAAAGACATTTCAAAGCGCTGAAATAACCATGACTCCATTTGTATTTATCGTCTTTTCTTTGCAAATTTGCTGAAAGGCCGTGACTGAAAAATTTCTTGCAGGGGAAAAAAATGTGACCACCATTCAATTCTTACAGAGTATATTTCCTTTCAAAATGCCTGGAACATGTTCATGCTTTATCCATTACCCAAACCCTTGCAATATGTAATCCACAGTAAAACAGAGGAGGTGAAGATGAGCTTCTTTAAGAACAGGATCAAAGGCATTTGTGGGGCCAGTTCTACTCTGGGTGAGAATATTTGGCTTAAGACCAGACACCTAGAGTTCTTACCTGCAAAGACAGGACACATCACAGAAGGAGATGCTAAAGGGCATGCTTGAACGTGGGCCAGGACAGATAATAGAACAAAAGACAAACACTTGAGCCAAAAGGCCCATTGCCAATTAGTCTTTTATGGTAAAATTGAGACCGTTCATACATAAACACATTCATGAACAAGAAAACCAAAAGGAGTTTTTGCTCCCAGATTTAGGGATAGAACTGAGTGAAGACAAATGATTAGAAGAATTTTTATGGGGGAAAAAAAAGAAACAGCTTTCTTTTCAAAGAATCTGAAAATGCCTTGAGTCAAAAAGGATAGCATGCAGTGGACGTATCACCATGACAAAAACAAGTTAGAGAAAAAAAATATCTGGCTGCAACAAGTAGCCCCGCTAACAATGAAAAGAAATGAAAAGTCCATGTTTTCCATGATGAATACATGGCAGTCAGTATGAGCCATTCAAGGTCAAAGGCAAAGGCTAATTGATTAATTGATTTGTATGAATGTTTTATTCTTTAAAAATTAAGTGCATCCTAGCACTTCAAAGTATTCATTTTTATTTAAACCAGAACAGAAGGGTCTCAAAGGCAATTATCTCATGAACTACTGTAAGCACAGTGGCTTTGTGCTAAACGTGTTATTATGCTCAGTGCTGAGAATGGCCCCATAAAATTCCGAGAATAAAAGCTATCGCCTGTTCAACATTTTCTCCAGGGCTGTGTCAAAAACGTAAGGAAATGAGAAATGTACTTGCCTAAAGTTTTGGTCTCATCATTTTAGTCAAATTAATTTGACATAAACCAGAACTTTGAAGCTAACAAA